AAACGCTCGGCGGGTGCTCCCAGTCACGAGATGGGCTCAGAGCATGGCGCAGATGAAATGCGGGGGATTAGCGCCCATGTACGGATTAAAAACGGGCATGGAAGTCACTTTACACTTTACCCATGGGCGTTGGTTAGCTGCCCTGTCTTGTACGTCATCCAATTGATGCAATTGAGTGCCGCAATAGTGCTCCGCGTTTTCTTCCACAGCGATCGAACCAAGTGAGACGGCAACCAAATTCCATTCAAACCATCTTATCTGCTGGTCTGATAATTGCTGCTGAAACCAGGCACCCGTCTTGCCGTCGGTACTTCATCATGTACCTTTTCTTCCTCTCAGTTCTAGAACCCAGCTGGAGACAGTGGATGCAGGGGGGCGTAAGGGAAGGAGGAGGGAAGGAGCCCGCAGCCGGCCGCCGTGCAGGGGTCTCAGTGTCAGTCGGGCCCCTAGAGCCCACTTAGCCTCAGCGCACCTCAGCTGCCTTACCGGACCTGACCTCACTACCTACCTACCTGGCCTCACGGAATCGGCCTTAGCCTCCCGTCCCGCTCTCCAGGTCACCTAGCTCTCGCAAACATCCAAAAATCGCACCCGACCAAATCTTGCTCACCTCACCTACAGCTCTACCTGACCTGACCTGCACTTCTCCCCATCACCATCCCTTCATCCTAAGTATCTTTTTCGATCCTAGGGTCGGCCTTCCATCATCACCCATCGAATAACCTGTTCATCCATCTTACCTGCGCACGCCTGCTATTATAGCTGGCTACCACGTCACCCGGAAAAAATCCCACCAAGCTTGAGCTCACGCGACCCCGACTGTGTTGTTGACTGCCATACCACCCAGCTTCAACATGGCCGCCTCTCCCGTCCAGAACCCCGCGGTTCAGTCCGAATCCAAGTCCGCCAAGAAGAAGAAGGCGAAGGCCATTGAGCGCACCGAGTCTCCTGCTCCTACTGCCTCTCCCGCTCCCGAGAAGGCTGATGGCTCCGATGAGTCCGGCGAGAGCCCCTACATTCGCGAGCTCCAGAAGTGCGCACTACCCGTCAATTGATGCTTCTGGTCTACTGTTCTAACTCTTGACCGTGTTCAGGAACCTCCGCAACACCAACAAGAAGCTTGTTCGTGCCTCTCCTTCCCCTCTCTGCGCCAAGCCTCCCCGCTAACACCCTCTCCTACAGACCAATGCCTCCAAGATTGACAGCCTGATCGCCGAGAATGCCAACAAGACCCTTGACGAGCTTGTCGCGTCGCGCGTTATTAACGCCGACCAGAAGGCTCAGTACTTGAAGAAGCCGGCTCTCCAGGCTCAGGCCCAACAATACGAGGAGCAGCTTGCTCAGTACAAGAAGATCGACCAGGAGTACCGTACTCGTGCTGCTAACGAGAAGGCTGAGCTGGAGAAGGCCTTTGCTGAGAAGCTGGAGAAGGAGAAGGCCGAGGCCGTTGCCGAGGTCAAGGCCAAGCTCGAGGGTGACTCCTCTCAGTCTATTCACAGCAAGCTCCTGATTCTGTCGCAATTCCTTCGCCTCGCCGCTGCCCGCCGATCTGAGGAGGCCGACGCCACTATCGACGAGAACGCAGCTCTTGAGGGAACTCTGTTGGCTATCTATGCCGGTGACGATAACGCCGTTGCCGCCATGTTGAAGCTGATTGATGGCACCGACGACAAGACCTACGGAGTCGCTGGCGAGGAGCTGAACACCACTTGTAAGCCTCTCGCCGAGATGAGTCCTTGCTGATCATGCTAACCCTTCCAAGTTGCGCAGGTCAAGCAGGCCTCTCTGGCCTTCAAGGTCACCTACGACGAGGCCGCCGCTGTCGAGGCCGAAACCGCTGCCGCCGAGCCTGCTACCGATCCTACCGTCGCCAACGCTACCGTGAACGAGATCGAGGCTGGCGATGATGTTGCCCTGACCAACGGCCACCCCGAGCAGAATATCGAGAGCCCTGCCAACGCTAACATCACCAGCGGCTCTGGCAACGCTGCCGGCGAGAGATGGGACCAGAACGACAACAGCCTCTCCGAGTCCCAAGAATGGGTCTCCGTGCCCCGCGACCCCGCTGAGACGGAGACTGGCGTCGAGGCCACCCCTGCTGCCGTGTCCAACACCCAGTCCTGGGCTGACGACCAGCCCGAGCACCAGGAGGCTCAGCCCGAGGTTTGTAGATTGTCCAGCCGTGCCCTGACGGGTTTGACTAACTCTATCCAGGCTCCTGCCCCCGCCGCTGCTGACCCTAACGATGGTTTCCATCAGGTTCAGGGACGCAACCGCGGTCGTGAGGGTGGTTCTGGTCACCGTGGTCGAGGCCGTGGCGAGTGGCGCGGCCGTGGTGGCTTCCGCGGCGAGGGTCGTGGTGGACGTGGTCGCGGCGGCCAGCGTGGAGGTTCCGTTTCGATGCGCGGACCTCGTCGCAACGAGGAGTCGTAGAGGCGCTCTGTTCGACGGCGTCTTCGGGCATCCCGGCGACAGTCAATGGGGTCTTATTCCTACGCGTCGCCGCATGTCTCCCGACGAAATCTTATGAATGAGGCATGGCGACGCCCTACGCAACGTGATTTACTGCAAGTGCTTTGATCGGTGTCAAGGCCTAGGGTATTGGGTAGGGGGATGTTGTTAATGAACATATAGGCATTCGGTTCCCCTATGGGTTTGCGGTTTACGGGCGGTTGGCATGGTCTGGGGTGTCGGGTGGCGTGGCTTACGCTTGTACAATACATAGCATGACTTTGGGCCGGCATACAAAAAACCTGGAATGAGACGATAATACCCACGATTTGAATTGAGAGAGACCATATGCTGGTATAGATGATATGATGAAAACTGCTACCTGCCTAGGAGCATGGCATGGGTAACTGAAGGCAAGTCAACAGAAACGATGGAGCTCCCATTAAGCCTCATGTTGCTTGATAAACTCCCCCAAACAAGAGAAACTACCCCCCACATTATAATTGTGCGCACAGAACCTGCTGTTGCTGCTCCCAAGTGGAAGAATCACATTCGGTACTTGACACTGGAAATCAGTCCCAGCTAACAGTTCAAGACTCAGGACTGACACACCTAGACGCCAGTGTAAAAGACACGAGACAGAGTTGTGCAAACCAGCCAGAGGTTGGTCGTTACCGATGTGAAAGTTTTGACGGCGCCCGCAACAAAGACAAACTTCAACGTCAGTGAGCTAAACCCCACACTCCTCAGTCTCGGAGACAAACTTACTGAATCGTTCAGCAGTTGCGGCGGGTCAACTTACTCCCGCACACAAGGCTCTGCTCCTGGAGGCAGACATGTTGCGAAGTGAAGGGCTCCATGCAGCGAGTGCAGAGGCGCCGGGTGAAGTGCCCGAAGAAGAAGCTATGAGATTGGGTGCAGCTGCTCATCTTGAAGAAAATGCGAGGTGGAAATGTCATAGTCAACCGGATCCTTTCTCTCTCAGACCATGCATCTCTCTCTGGTTGTATAAGTAGCTCCTTCCGTTCCCCCCTTTTTACCACGTTACGCTCACATCACGTTCTGCTGTATCCGCATCACGAAACACGTAATCAAGGCAACGTGCATGTCAGCCGCCCGACCAGGCTACGGGTGAGGTCGAGGACGAGTGGTTGCTGTTAAGCATACCGACATTCTCACCAAGGCTCCCGGGCTCGTTTCCGGGAGTTGCTGACTGGTTCGCCGGCACCCTTGGCGGGCGGCTTACGGGGGGAAACGGGGGGGGAACCGCCTTGGACTGCACGACGATTCTGGATTGGGCGGGTTGGGGTGGCTGTTCTGCTCGTCTGACGTGCGGGGGCGATATGCAGCAAGCCTGTCTGGGCACTCGGTGAGCCTGGACAGCCGTAAGCAGTGTTTGAGGTGAGGTGAGATGACGATTCTGGGCGGGACGGGTGATCGTAAATAGTCTGTGTTTGTCGAGGTGTTTGGTACACTGCATGAGGCTCTACGGGGATCGTGCAATTGCTGCTGGCTACCGAAGATCGAGGGGCACCAGGTGAGTGTAAGTGATTGCTTTTGATGTAATTGGGGTTTATACGAGGCTCTTTGGTTAGAAGGGGAGAAAACAATTTATTGGAAGTCTTCGCGGAGTTCCACACGGAGATACGGAGACTTGCATGGCAGAACTGCTTCGAATACTGACGGGAGCATGAGGTTCACAACAGACATCTGCAGAGCTTCGAACAAGATACAAGTTGCTGGTCATCACATGGGCACTGCACAATGCCGCTGCTAATGAACAGCGGTGATTCTATCATGTCCTTGCCTAGAGACATCAGATAAGCGAGTTCGGACTCACGGTCTGATGTTGTCAAGTTAGACCTCAGACAACAAATACACTGCCATCTCTGGATGACGTCAGGGCAGACGGTCTCGAACTTATCCCGACACCAAAGCTGCAACTGCTTAAGCATATCGCATTTTCGCCGCTGACTAAGAGTTCGCATTCCTCCAACTCCCCGTTGATCGCCAGCGGCGCTTGCGCGTGATGGGCGCTAGACGTGCTGGCGGCTTCATAGCGACAGCGCCTCTCAGACGCCAGAGTACGAGTGTGTTTCCGACTGCATGGTCGGCCACTCAAGCTCCGAACCCCGCGTCCATTTTCGAGGCGTCGATCCTTTTTGCAGAGAAACTGTTGCAGAGAAACTGTTGCAGAGAAACACGGCCGCAGCTGCGGCCGTTGGCCGAAAGACGTGTTCGGCCCGCGAGATCTATGTTCTATCGCCGGGGACCACACACGGCCCGAAGGCAAGCCACTCAGCACCATCTTGAAGACGATCTCAAGAGCTTTGCATCGTCTTTCTTTCGACATCCAGAATAATTCACTTGAATGACGTCTACAGCAAGAATGTGCGTTGAGTTGCTCTTTAAAATTGTAAATAAAAAGCTTGGCGTTCCGCCCTTGGATTTTGACAGTAGGCCTCATCAACACAAGTAAACTCCAACACCTAAAATCATCTGAAAACGCTTCCGCAATCACACAAGCTTTTCTCATAATTTGAATAAAAATGCCTTTCACAAGTTCCCATTCTATGCTAGCCGGCGGGTGTGCTGCGCTGGCTCTTTCATATCTCATCCTACGCACTATTTACAACATCTTCTTCCACCCCCTAGCCAAGATCCCAGGCCCCAAACTCGCTGGGGCGACCTCTTTATGGCTTTTCTACTCCGACTTCAAGGGTCACGCATGCAACGACCTCTCAAAGCTTCACAAGCAATACGGCAAGTCCTCATCGCTGTCACCCAGCGTCTAAACGTCATACTAATTCCCAACTCTTAGGCCCAGTAGTCAGAATCTCACCAGACGAGGTCTCCATCCACGACATCGACATCTTCCACAAAGAAATCTACTCCCAAAACACAAAGTTTCAAAAGTCAAAGTACTACTACCACGCCTTCCACAGCCCGGACTCGAGCGTCTTCTCGGAGACCAACAAGGAGGTCCACGCAAAGGAGAAGCGCCTCATGTCCCACGCCTTCTCCCGCGCCAACCTCGCCGGCTACCAGAAGAACATGTACGAGAACGTGGCTGCGTGGGTGAAGCAGTTGCGGAGCTATGCGGAGGCAGGTCGTGTCATTCCCTTGTGGCATGCAACACAGTGCCTTACCCTCGACACCGTCTCTGGCTTCAGTTTTGGATCCAAGGCCGGGGCGCTTGAGTCGGAGGACTTCCATCACCCCTTGTTCGTCGGTTTCGAGACTTTCGCGCCGCTGGTGGTGCTCTTCCAGCAGTTCCCGCTCCTGCAGCCCATCTTTGGCGTGGTTCAGAAGTTCATGTCCTTCGGATTTGGACCAATTCACCAAGTAAGTTGGTTTCTAGGAGAGACTTGTGTTCATATGCTGACTCTGAGGAACAGGGAGCGGAGAAGGCGCTCGACCGTCTCAAGGAGAAGAAGGAGCAACAGGAAGAGGAGTCTGGGATGATCATGTTCGACAGCATGGTTGCCCGCGCTGAGAGCAACGGTATTCACATTACACCGCAACGCTTGGTGCAGAACGGGAGTTTGATGCTCGGCGCTGGTATGTCAACTCATTCCATTTGTCAGACTGCATCTATAGAAATGTCACTGACCATGTGGATTCACAGGCACGGGAACAACTGCTTTAGTCCTGACCACCGCCATTTACCACCTCAACGAGCAGCCTGACCTGTGGAGCAACCTCCAGACAGAGTTACTCAGCAACTTCCCTGATTCTCTTGATGAGCAGCCGGATATTGTACAACTGGAGAAGATCCCCCTTCTGGAAGCATGCATTAAAGAGGCCATGAGGATTAGCATTCCAATCAGGGGCAGATGGCCTCGTGAGGTGCCCAAGGGAGGCCTCAACACCCACGGGTGTTACCTTCCTGAAGGCGTAAGTTTCCAGAACTCATGAAATTTCTTAGCAGCGTGTCTGACACGGTCGATAGTACAATGTCTGCTCCTCGGCTTCGTTCTACTGCAACGACGCAACTGTCTTCCCGGAACCCGAAGAATTCAAGCCAGAGCGCTGGATTGACGCTGGGAATGCCCACGACATGCAGCGCAACCTCGTCGTGTTTTCTCACGGGTCTAGGGCTTGCATCGGACAAAAGTACGTTTACAAGTTTCTTTATCGCAATGGCCTAGAGCTCTACTAACACTCTGCTAGCTTTGCCCAAATCGAATTGAAGATTGCCTTGAGTCAGATTGTGATGAACCTGAACCCCGGGAGAACAGTCGACCAGGGACTCGAGTTTCACGCGCACAGCATCACCTCACCAGACGGGCTAGCTCGTGTTGTGCTTGAAATCCCCAAATAAGAGATATTGGTGTCGTCAGGGTTTAGATTATAGACCATGGATTTGTCGGGATGAGAATGAGGTGCTTTGATGAATCGGCGATACAGTCATGCATATAGATCAACGTCTTAGAGTTCGATGCGTTTTTATTTCGTCATTAGATTTTCATTTCAATTAATCTAATACCGTTACTTGGGAGGTCACGTTTTGCATGGAAGAGGGCTTGTTTGTGAACGAGTGAATGAGAGCATTTTAGCCCCTGTCAGCATTAGATATATGTACTACAACCCAAATACGCCTCCCAAAATCCCATCATAATCATGCACGGCACATCCTGCCATCAGCGGCAACGTCCCAAACATCGCTACCGACGGTCTTGAGCGCGTAGAACACACCCGTGGAATCCCACTTCTGCTTGATCTCCAGCAGCTTGTCGTACTTGCTGCCAAAGAACTTCTCCTTCCAGCCGTCGATCCTGAAGTCGACCTCGTTGACGTAGTTGCCGCTGCCGGGGGTCGCGGCCTCGATGGGCGGCATGATGTCGTCCGTCATGCGCTTCTGGTCGGAGATCATGGTGTCCCACTGGGCGGGATCGTTGCTCCAGGCGGTGGAGTACTGGACGTGGATGGTGGCGTCACGCCAGTGCGGGTTGACGGCGTTGTCGACGCCGGCGGGGGCGGAGGCATTGAGGGCTACACCGGCGGAGAGAACGCCGTAGGTGTCGGCGCCGTAGCGGATAGCGTCGATGTAAGTGGCACGGGAGGTGGTGTCGGACAGGACGGAGCGGGGGACGAGGCGGGAGCCGAAGTTGTAGGACTCGACCTCGACGTGGCCGTAGGGGAGGGGGCCCATCCACTTGTCGTAGTGGTCGCGGTAGCTGGAGTAGTTGGTGGCGGCGGAGGAGTAGGGGATGGAGAGGTCGGCGAGGACGTCGAGGAAGGGTTGGAGGATGGCCTTGGCCTCCTCGGCCGTCTTGTTGTAGGCAGTCAGGGGGTTGATGGCGAAGATGGAGCTGCTGTAGAGGAAGACAACCATGGCGCCCTGGTCGGTCATGTTGGGGAGGAGGGAGTGGAAGGAGTCGAGCATCTGCCACCACTTCTCCTGGGTAGTGTAGGACGCGGCAGTCTGCAGACCGACACCGCCGATGTTGGCATCGGGGTAGGCGCGGACGGTGACGGAGGTGACGACGCCATAGGTACCGGGGCCACCACCGCTGAGGGCCCAGAAGAGGTCAGAGTTCTCCGTGCGGGAGGCAGTGACGATCTTGCCGTCGGCGGTGACAACCTCGAACTCGAGCGTCTGGTCGGCAGCCATACCGAAGTTGGTGGTGAGGGCGGAGTGGCCACCACCCTGGATGTAACCACCGGCAGGGCCAACGGTGGGGCACTCGCCGCCGACAACGACGAGGCCGGCGGACTTGCCAGCCTCGGTGATCTCGTAGCCGAGAACACCGGCGCCCATTTTGATGGCGGGGCCGGACCAGAGATCGTCGGACCAGGTAGTCACCTCGATATCCTTGAGCTTGTGGGTCCAGGCGGCGAGGGCTCCGGCGCCGGTTGATCGGCCGAGGTGGCTAGGGGACAAGTGGGTTAGCGGGAGTGTGGGAGAGAACTTCCGGACGAAATAAGCTTACTCATGACCCGTGTTTCGGACGAGGAAGCGGATGTTGTTGTCGCGGGCGAAGTTGACGGTCTCGACGACGTCCTGGGCGGAGGTGACCTCGACGGCGTACTGGACGTAGTTGCCGATGAGACAGGGGAGGGTGCGGTCCGTGAAGGGGTCGCAGGACTGGTTGGCGAAGTAGCTCTGCATCACGGAAGACGAGGAGGGGAAGCTGGGGCTTGTTAGTGGTTGTGACTTTGCGGTGGTTTACTGTGAGGGGCCTGGACATACTGCGTCTCGGGAAGGACCCAAGCATCTTGCAACGCTGTGCACGCGGCCTCATCGTAGTTGGGGTCGTGGCAGACGGAGCCGATGGGGACGGTCGCGATGAGCTTGCCGCCGACGGTGGTGTTGAGGGTGTTCCAGGAGTCGGTAGAAGGCCAGGCGGCATCACCGGGGAGAACGCGGCAGGTGTCGTCGGCGCGCTTGGGAAGGACGCCGGCGGCGGCGAAGGGCGCGGCAGCGAGGGCCGTGGCGATGATGGAGGACTTCATCTTGGCAGGGCTGGAGGAGGAGGAGCGGAGAGCCTTGAGGAGAGGGTGTTTAAAGGAATGACTAGGCTGCTGCAGGGAAGACTCCTGACGGCGAGATGAAGCGAGAGGGCCATGACGGGATGGTCTTTATATTGAAGACGGTCCGGCTTTCTTGGATGACCCAGGAGCAATGCACAGTTGGCAGTTGGTTCACTGGTTCTTCCTTGATTGCGGCACAGGCACAGGAGGAGAAGCTGCGAACATCTGGACCGGGCTGTGTAGACGAAGGCCCAGAGGGGAAGGGGACGCTGTCAATCTCCCTCCCGGCCGCAGACTCTCAATCCGCGGCGCCAGGGCCGTGACTAGGTTTTTCCCCTTTTCGGCAGCTTGTCCGGCATTGTGTGGCGGCCACGGGGTAAGTCTGCGGAGCTACAGTCCCCATTGTTTTCTCCTTGAAGCAAGGTCCGGGGTCCTTTGGCATTGCACCTTTCTCGAGTTCTTCGGTCTTTATTCTGGAGATCGACACGAGGGTTCTCTGGACGGGTTCGTGCGTGCGGTTGAAGGAATCCGACAATTTGGAGGCCAGCGGTTCGGGTTTGGGGCTTAGATGCTGGGCGCTGGAAATGAGTCGTGCGTGTCAGTCGTTCGATCCATAGGGCAGCCTTCTGGAAGGTTTATGGAAGAAAATGACTGGGGGCGTCGCATAAATTCGAATGTCGCCAAGTGCCGGGGGTGCTGGTCAGGGGATGCGCATCGTATGCATCGGACGAACAGCTGAACAAGACAGGTCGCAACGTCCAACACACATGCGCAGCAACAACTCGATGTGTGCTCACTCAATCACTGTTGGTGCTGAATTCTTTCGGCCGCCACTGCAGCTTCTGCCCTGCAAGTGGGAGACATGTCGATAAGTGATCCCTGACTCGTGGAGTTCACCTCGGTTGCGCCCCCAATCGGCCCTGGCAAAGGTCGTTGGCGGCGAATGCGACCCTTGCTCTTCCCCCTGATCTGGCCCCATCTCCATCTGGTCTTCGTCCTGTTCCTGCAGCACAGGCCTGATGCTGGCTTCCAAGCCTTCTTCAACGGGGCACTGGCTTCCAACATCGAGAATTTCGTAACGACATTTGAGCTGAGCCGAATTAACGTTGGCAACGGGAAGGGCTGACGGTTTGTGCCCTACGCCGTCGGAACGCCACACACAAACATGCTCGTGTTAGCGGCGCGAATATCTCAATCGTTTGTCGTCATCGAGTGGTCTATTTTGAGTTGACGCAGGGAGAGACCAAGGTTGGCTAAGACATGTGCATGTCAGTCCGTAAGCGTGTGGGGTGCATTCGGTCCACGAAGAGGTGCGCTCCTTTCTTTTTCTCCTGTCGGTTTTCGATAGTCCCAGGGACATGTTCCTTCTTCCGGCGATGGCGGCCATGTTTTCGCAGGACCAACGACAACATGTGCCGATGCGAGATGCAGGTGGCAGCTTTGCCGCCTCTCCCGTCCACACCACCAAGGAAACCAATTTTTTCGAATGGGATTTCTTTTCTCGGCCAATAGCACCCACTAGCGTCGCCGTTGCATGGCCTAAAATGGCTCCAACGTCTAAACATCCAGACTTTTGCTCCGAAGCTTAGCAGGGCCGCGATGTCACCGGCCCGGGGCGAAAAGAGGAGGTCCAAACGTTGCAGGTGGCGACGTCGAACCATATAACTTCGGCGATATTGATAAACATTTGGTTTAACCCCTCGAACAGAGTCACCAACAACCGTAAATCCGCGTACGACCACGCCGTATCGTCTTCCTTAGCCTCGGATGAGTCCCGAAGTCGGTAGCTGCCGATACACCTGAGCTCTGCAGGAGAGAAAAAAATACCCCGGCCCCATACTTCGAGAAGGGCCCCTTCACCTCCTCCACGCCAGCACGTGTGTGTGTTCGGGATGAGGGGCCGGCGGGCTGGTGGGCTTGGAGTGGACAACTGCGCCGGGATCAAATCTCGGTGGTGAGGTCTGTTTTGAGCTCGTGCGCAACGTGGACGGTCTGTTGGGCTGACGCAATGTCTTATTCATTCCGATGGTGGGACTATCGTTCTATCTATCCTTCCAATTTCTTCGGGTCCGAAGTGTGTTGTGGGCGCACAAAAGAGTTGAGGCTCTGCTGCAGGCCTTCGCGTTCCCTTATCACAGGCCCTGTCGCGGAAGACTCGGTGCTGCGCCAAGCCAATGGCTTACGTCCTGTTGCATTGCACGAAGCCCACTTCTCCCGGCGGACTTAGCTCGATAGTCGTCGCATGAATAATCGAGACCGCACCGAGACCCTGTCTGCTGGGCTCTGGCTCGAGAAACGCGCAGCGCGCGGGATTGTTGCCTGGAGAGTATATGAAGACGTTTGTCACGATGCCGCTGCTGGCTGTCAAAAGTGTCAGCAGGGGGTCGCTTTGCCTCGGCTCCGGGGATGCGCTCGATTGAGGTAGACTCACCGACGGGATATCCTGAAAGCGTCTCAGGTACGTCAAAAAGGTCGGTAAAAGTGCCATTCTCATAGGTGAACGATATGCCGACCACAACGGCGGGGTCGTCTTCCTGAGGGGTTGGGGCTGCGGCGGCGAGGGTGGCGAGGAGACTCGCGAAGGCGGCGATGAGCTTCATCTTGACCCCTGATGTGCGCGCTTGTCGCAAGTGCTCGGGATTCTGTTGAAGACCTCAATGCTTCTGGTTCATTATATGGGAGTGAAAGTCTGCCATGTGCATGGCGCTGACAGAGAGCCATCTCGATACGAGCACTTGTTTTCCTTCGCTTTGTGAGCAGCGAGGTGGAAGTCCGCTACTGAGATTTTGATCAAGTGATGTTTGGGACGTAACGTGCCTCTAGAAAGGCGCGCATGTGTCTTCTCACAGCAGTTCGCTGACTGGCGCATCTCGAAGAGGCGTCTGGAGTAGGCTTTCAAGCGCCACCGAAATGCACGACTTGAAATCCGGCAACTTTCATCAGCGCTTTGGGACAAGAAGTTGTCCAAAAATCACATCTTGGCGAAGTCGTGCTCGGGAAGGCCAATGCAACATGGAGTTGAGTTCATGACATTCTTGGGGGCGGAATTCCATACGACGCTTGCGGGGCGGCGTGCCAATTTGCGGGCTGTGACACTGATGATATATTACCCTCGGACTGAATCGCGGATTTTTTTAGAAACTTAAACAGGGTGCAACCAAGCTGACTCGTAACTCATCACGACGTCAGTTCAACGACACCTCTTGAAGTGATGTCCATTTCTCCTAAGTAAACCGTTGAATGAGCCAATCCGGATGCCACTGGCCGCCATCAGCATCCTGACATCCAGTGTTTCCGCCCACCGAGACTTGGCTGTTCTGAGAGAATCCCGAGATGGAATCTCGAACTAGGTCGGAGACGTCGGTGTTGCCGATGTAGCCTGCCGTCACTGGGCGTGGATTCGCCCGCACCGAGAAGCCGCAAGTGTTGATCGAGACCAAGCGCGACCGCGAAACACCATTGGCATCGAGGTCGGAGTTTTCGACTCGAAAGTAGCCGCCGGTGCTCGCGAAGTATTGTTGCAAGAACTGGCAATCATCTACAAGAGGGGCGTTGGAGTTCCAGTTATTGGTAAAAGAGCTGCCGCCACATAAATCGTAGAACGACGAACTTGGTGTCCAGCCACGCTTCGCGTTAAGGTTGCGAGAAATCGGAGCCGGGGCGTCGGCACTGTCTTCTGGCGTGAATTCGGCGAAGAAGGTGGCACTTCGAGTGTGGCCGTCTGGGAGGGTGATCTCTTTGGTTACCGGGGTGCCGGATTCGAAGGTCGCATCGCGCCTGGGCAACGTGACTGCCGCCGTGGCAGACGTCAGGAGGGAGATGGTCAAAATGGTTTCGAAGCGCATGCCTGCTATGTAGAAAGCTGAGTTGGTTGTGATAAATCAAAACTTGTCTTGAGAAATGGCCTCTTTTATATTTTCCTCTACTGAGAGGAAGATATGTGTTCGCGCTTGAGACCAAAATCCGCTCACGAGGGCATGCCATCAAGATGCATACCGCTAACAGTCGAAGGTGCCATGGAAGGAATGGCTAATTGAACAAGTGCAAGGCATTGGTGCAGAAATCATGCCGACGAAGTTGACTGTAGTGAAGGAAGAACTTTGGTGAAGTCGGACAATCGGAGGATCGATAAGTGGTGATGTGTGTATGTGACGGCCGACCTGTGCCGTTTCGCCAAGGAATCTCGCCGCGATCTTGCATGAAGCTTGCTTCATGACTTGCCATATTAGGCAAGCAATCCCACCTCCAGGTCGCTGGAAAGCGTCGAAGCTCTTTCAATGCGGACAACTCAAAGTCCGGGGTTGGCTGGTGCTTTTGTCGACTAGCTGACTTTTGCGAGGAAAAGTTGTACTTTACCCGGAGCCATTCATAAGAAGGGACGGCGAGTGCGTAGGTCACCGCGACAAGCGTTTGGCACGGAATCCATCAGAGCTATCGATTTTGATTGGAGTCTGGTCAATAATCAAATGAAAGCCATGAATGGGGTTCCCAAAATTCTGCCATTCGACCCAAACTTAATTCCTTCTTTCCGCAGAAGTGACCTTTTCTCATCCAGAGTGATGCCCTCTCCGTTCTTAGGCCGCTTGCCCTTGAAACCTCCAAGATCTCCACCAGTGGCAATGACTCTGTGACATGGAACTTGTGGCGCATATGGATTGCGGCGCAGCGCGTTGCCAACGGCTCTTGGTGATGACTTGAGATGGTTGGCAAGTAGGGCGTATGTCGTGATGTGACCCCTGGGTACTTGGCACAGGGCGGTCCAAACTCTCTTCTCGAATTGCGTGCCTCGGTGGGAGGCGGCGATGCGGTCGATTTGCATTTGCATTTCTTCGCCCTCAGGAATCTTGCAAGAAGTGATGTCGCGCGCTACTGGCGACGCTTGGGCGACAGCGGTTCTGGCCATTGTGGTGATCCGGCGGAGAAGGGTGATGGGGATGTGATGCAAGATGCCGCACGTCGGAGATTTTGATCTTTCAAAATAATGTTGGAAAGTGGAAAGGATGACTCGATGAATAAACACGCAGCTGCTCCTTTCTCTGAGTCAACGGCGAAGATTTGGGGATTGTCAAGTGAAGGGCGCGTCGCAAGCGCGAAGGCCCGGGCGGGGCAAAACGCGAGTCTTGCGCGAGCCACGTGACCTTAACTGAGACGCTTGCTTTCAAAGTGACCAATGGCAACAGTCTACGATGGTGCTGGCTGGCGGCCTGTGTCATAAGTCTTGCTCATGCCCAGCTCATGTAATAGGCAATTAAGGGACCGCCTACGTTTTCCTGTGTTTGCGCAGCATTACTTCCTGTGTATTTCATGAGTTCGATCGAGGACGACGGCAGCAGAGATAATGACAGCAACGACGATGACGATCGTAGTGAAAAATGGAAGTAAACCCGCAGGCAACATAGGCGGCCTCATCGTTAGAATTGAGGCAAGAATCTTAGAGCTACGCAGGCAGGGGTTCAAGGAATTCGACGCGGTACGGCCCAGCCTAACTTGCAGTATGTAAGCATGAATGTTGTTGGAATGCTTTTTACACGTAATTTAATACCTGAGTATACAATGCCATTTTGCGCAAGTCTTTGCAAGTCGTTCGAGAATGGGTATCCTCATCTCCAACCATTCAACCCATGATTTCGTGGTCTTCCGATAACGCCAAAGTGAAATCAGTCGTGTAGAGGTGCATGCCCAGACGTTCCAAGCCTCTCAGGCAGCCAGCCTCAGCCCCGACTTTCGGTCCATCCACCTGAATCGTGCTTTATCCGCAATGCTTGCTCCTTAATCACCAGTGTCAACCTCCAAGTCGATCTGCACACCGTTGCTGACACCGTAGTCCTCCAGCGTAAGGTGGTCCTTGAATGGCCGCTCTCCCTGGCGCTTCAGCAGGATCTCGTGGGGCTCCCGACCGACTCTCTGCGCCACCAGGATCTTGAACATCTTGACGGGATCCGAGGCTAGGCAAGGAATCGCAGCCTTCGTGCCGAGTCGGTCGTTGACGTGGACGATGATCATCTCTTCGCCGCCGGCAGCAGCAGGTGCGGGCGCGGGCTTCTCTCTCTTGGGTGGCTTCGTCGTATCCTTTGAGCTCGAGGAGCCGGCTTTGCTTTCTCTTGGGCCTGAGTCGCGATCGCGGTCACGGTCGCGGTCGCGTGGGCGGTAGCTGTCATTGCGATCACGATCGCGGTCGTTGTATCTTTCGCGATCTCTGTCTCGGTCGCGACGGGGAGAGCGGGATCGATTGCGGTAGCCGCGCTCAAGGCCCCGTCTGTCGTCACGATCATCGCGGTCGTCTCTGCGGCTCTTGTCCTTCCATCGAAAACCTCCTTGTTTTCTAGGTCTGTCTCTGTCTCGATCGCGGTCGCGCCGGGGCGAGCGCGATCTTGGGCGCTCGCTATCTGCCATGGCGAGTTCGAATGGGTTGTAGTGTTGCAGTGTTTGTTCGGTTGACACCTTTGGGCGAGGAAGCAGTAACTTCACGTCACTATTCAGGCGAACTTACCCACTATCTATGCACGAGCCACCCGCAGAAGCTGGCCGCTGCAGATCAAATAGGCTTATGTAATACGAAAGGGCCTCTGAAGCTGTTCTACCGACAGTGTCATTCTTTCATTCCCATCTCACTGACACCGGACTGGTAGCACCGCTTCTATCAAATCAAATCGGATCTCAAATCATTAGAGACCGCTCAATATTTGCGTCATATTCATACATGGAATTTCCATTTTGTGCTCACATAGAAACTTGTTCGGTCCTTCTTTTGCTCAAGTTCTTACATATGCAACTTCATGGGTCCTGCATGCCGGCCTGCCTTCGAGTGGATGCAGACCGTAGAAGCTATTTGGGTACGGGGCCGCATCTACCTGGAATCCTACGACTGTCCAACACTTATTTGCGTTTGCCCTTGCCGAAACCCCTGCAACCTAAGGCCACTCGCACCCTTTTTCCCCCATTGGTCGGGGAGAAAAAACGCGTTTTTGCCCACTTCTAACGCGAATAACGCAGTGCGTGCGGCATGCGCCCGAATAAAAAAGATACCGCTATAATCAGTGAGATCAGGGCTATTAATCGGTATCTTTTTTGTTCGCGTGTATCGACTTTTCATTTTTCGTTATTTTTGCCGAGGTAGTCGGGTGAAAATCGTCCGTTTTCACGAAGTTCGCGAAAATGGGATATTTTCGCCCGATTCCTACGCGCTTAGCTAATCAAGAACATCAAAAATGAAAAGTCGATGAACGCGAATAAAAAGAGTACCGTTCGATTGCCCTGATCTTACTGATTTTAGAGGTATCTTTTTTACTCGGGCGCATGCCGCACGCACTGCGTTATTCGCGAAAACGTTGTTAATTGACGTCGAAAAAAGGCGTGTGAGAATGCCCGAAAATGCCGCATTTGCAGGGGTTTCGGCAAGGGCAAACGCAAATAAGTGAAGTACGGAAACTTGGGTTTGAACGCCGCTGTGCGAAGCTCTCTTCATCAGATGGCGAGTCAAATCGTCTCAATCTTTCTGAATGCTTTCAGTTTTTGTCCGATCCTAGGGCTAGACTTATCTCAGCATACCATGACCAAACGAGCATCGTCGGCGGCAGCAGCATTTCCAGATGATGAAGATAGTCGAGGGGAGCCCCACAACGAGCGATACGATCGCAATGATGGCCTCGAGAGTTACCTCCATCACGATGCAATGCTGCGAAAGTCACAAATATTCCCAGTGCTCGCCTAGCGTAATTAGGAGCTGTGAACGCGAGCGGCTTGGTTCAAGAGAGCAGCGCCGGTAACAATATTCCGCGGTTAGGGAGGGGGGCCGCTTGCTTTAGTGACCAGTCGTCTTCATGGAAGTGGAAAGAGAAAAGGTATTAGTTATATTTGACTGTGACTTGCCGCGCAGAAGGTGATCACTTAGCCTGTGAAAACATCGTGAGAGTGGTTCCTGTGAGATGTGTGGTGTGCAGAGCAACCTTATATGTTCCCAGGTCTCCCAGAACTCACTGTTGCGTTGCTCGTTATGAACGGTAAACAAGCATATTCTATCTGGACAAACAAGGCGCCGAAGTCATCTACGTGCTTGTTACTTTTGCCTGGTTTTTCTTTCGGATATTGGGCTAGACCAATGAGTGATCGCATTTTGCAGCACCACCCCTCCAACAGATGTGCAGAAGCTGCATTGCATATGACACACCTCCACGAAAAAAGTAAGACAGGGCATTCAGATACAGGTTCGAACCAATGAGCGCCAGATAATGGCCACAGCCTCAGTAGAGCTTTGAGATATTGGCTGCAACCAATCAGAGCAGCTTTGGCTTACATACGTCGAGCAACCCTTCAAATAAGGCTCTGTCCCCTCTGGTTCCAAGGTTGAATTCCCCACAACAGCATTGCCCGAAGCCAACCGTTCGTTGTCTGCTATTGTACACATGCGCTCCTCTCAGCAGCAACGGCCTGCTGAGGCCGACTGGCAGCTGCACAAAGACAGCATTAGACAGATGATCGTTGAGCAGAACTTATCACAAGAGGAGACGAGGAGTCGACTGAAATCTGTCGGGTTCGTCGTGAGGTACGCCTGCCTACTCCTCACTTAGGTCATTCTTCCTAACCAGACGCAGTAAGTCGCAGCTTGAGTACAAATTGCGAGTTTGGGGCTTCAGAAAGAAAGCTCCAAAAGACAAGAGCCGTGCGCTTTGGCAACATGTAGGATATCGTATTGATAAGAGAGGGCTCCAGGGCAAGTCAAGTCAAGTCTGGCTCAATGGAAGACTTGTCGATTCTGCGAAAGTTCGGAAAGAGGTGAACAGACATCAACCGGACACGCTGTCCAAGATTGCACGAGGTAAGTTTTGAGCCCTATTCTTCGCCAAATCTTGACTAATCCGAGGCGCGTAGAGAATGCGAGCCCAAAAACTCCCAAGTTCCCCGAAATATGCATCAACACTCCGTCTCCAGTATTGCCTTCGGCACAGTGCCCTGAAAGATCTCCAGAGTCCCCGGAACCGTTCTTTGAAACAAGCCCTATTAGTTTTATCCCACAAGTTCGACCTCAGCTCCCCAAATTGGGAGGCGTTCCAATGGTCAGATCTCATGCCCTTTATTTCGGAGGTGAGTGCAACTCTAATGACGGATGTTCCACGAGTTGTGTTGCTGATACCTAAGGCTGTAGGAACGTTCTGGGACATGCGGCTTGACCGTACAGCTTCTAGTAACTCACAACCCTCCCACATAAAACCATCTCCATATCCTGTTTGGTCACAAACGGTTCGTCACACGATGGAAGACGCTGCGACTAGACCAAATCCAGAGCGCGAATCGTCCGAGAAAGAGTATGGTATCAGAACCCTTTGATGGTAACGCAGACTGACGTCCTCGTAGAAGCTCGACAACATATTTCTACCAGAAAGCAAAAACCCTGCAAGAATTGATTTTGTATCACGAATCTCTTCAAATGTCCGTCTTCAACAAGCTATTCGATCAATCCGGCGGCCACATCCAAAGGGCAATCAACCAGGGTAACCAGAACGTCACCAAACGAACCACTGAAATCGATAAACTTGACACTGAACAACGCAACGCATGCCTATCAATACTCGAGAGATGCATAATCAACGGGAACAAACAAATGGTGGCTGAATTTTTCTCTGCGTTCCCGTCTGCCTACAGTCCCGGAGCACTTTGTGCGAGTGTGTTCTGGGCCGATGCAGAGCCCAACACAGCAATACTCAAGCAATTGCTCAGGAATCGACAAAAGTCCGAAGATACACATCCTATGGAATGCTTGGCAATTGGGATAGCAGCTTTCCTGGACAGAATTGACTTGCTGGACCTTCTGCTAGAAACTTTACCACATCCACATCTAGCCGCACTTCCACACACGACGTTTTCTGATCTTGCAAGCCAAGCAACGAAAGATGCTGGCAGGGCTATTTGGCCTCTGCCTAGTAGTGAGAATCTATTGAACGAACCCATGTACTACTACAGAATCCGGAAGCAGCCATTCTGGCAATATGAGCACATGGTTCATGGATCGCCACTTTCTCTGGCTCTTTTTTCCAGAAAGTCTTTGAGTCGGCTCTTGGAACATGGGCTCTACCCCGATAGACTGACAATGTCTATAGCGGCTGGGCTCGGCGAGCGCGGCCCCATCCGGGAATTGGCTCTCTATCCGATGCTCGAGTCTGGTTTCGAGAACTTCTCAGGCCCCCTATCAGTGTCTGTGTTGAGAAACAATGTCAACATAGCCAAAAGCCTTTTAGACATACCTGGTTGTGTCAATGAGAACAATACACTCGTAGAACGAGGCCGGAGCCCTCTACAAAGAGCGATCGAGTGCGGAAACCCGGAATTAACCAACATACTGCTTGAGGCAGGAGCAGACGTCAATGCGCCTCCTGCTCGCCACTTTGGCCTCACAGCTTTGCAAATTGCAGCAATTATTGGCCATCTGGAGGCTGTTAAGAGTTTGATTGAGCTCGGAGCAGATTTGAACGCACCTGGTGCGATAAGAGCCGGGCGTACTGCACTCGAGGGCGCAGCGGAGAAAGGACGAATTGACGTAGTTCGGTATCTTCTATCTCAAGGTGTACAAACACGCGAGGAAGGCCGGCTTCCATACCTACGGTCCATCAGGTATGCTGAGATCGAAGGGCACCAGAGCATTGTGGATCTACTCAAGAGTTGGCGATCCTGGACAGTTGAAGATGACACGAGGTGGGAAGAGTTGCGGTCGCTGTCAAGTACGGGATGTGAAGAGTATCAAGAGGATACTGGTGATGAAGTCGATTCCGAGTGGAGGAAAGAGAATGATGAACATGGCGATGAAGGACAGAGCATTGTATTTGAAGGTTTACCAACAGTCTACATGGATGGGCTTACCTGGGACTTAGTGGGCATTTGGGGCGGCATCTTCTTTGAATCAGATGGTGTGGAGGTGGCCAGTAGTAGCAACTTCGACTTTGGTATGAGTTTTGGTATCTAGCAATACGGGGTGTATTGGGTTGGTGGGTTTTTCTTTGATTGAAAATGATGCCTTGATCTGAGGTTTCCTCTCTCTACCCTAAAGTGAACAAAACAAAAGGTCAATCAATGATAAGTATACGGAAGAGAGAGGGAGACATAGCACAACCTGGTTTCGATCCAGGGACCTCTGGGTTATGAGCCCAGCGCTCTACCCCTGAGCTATTGTGCTTGTGTTTCTTGTTGAATACAATTTGCGTTTACCAGCCCATGAAGGTAGTGGAGTGGGTGAGTCATTTCCAAGTCACATTTTTCACTTTGGCCTCAGTCCGGCTCCGCTGTGGGAACATTTCGTACAAAGGGTCGGCGACGACTGGATGAGATCGATGGGGCGAATGGAGGGAGGGTCTCGTGAGATTGCGTCGTCCTACACCAAAGTCCGGGGTATCTCCACACCTCCAACACATTCATCCACAAAATCTCCGATGCCAAAAACTTTTAAATAATATCCCCGTATGATACAGCGCTTTAATCATCAAACCCCTCAAACTCGTCCTCCTTGTCCTTTCCGCCCACTGCCTTGGCCTGGTTCCGTTTCCTCACTTCGGCAATCAGCTCGTTCAGCTCCATGGCCTTGATCTTCTCCTCCTCCGTCATCGTCGACATCCTCTCGGCCTCCTTCTTGCGTCTCCTCTTCTCCCGACGCTCGACTCTCAGATCTTCCCTGTCAGTCTGTTTGCTCCATGCCTCGTTGGTCTTGCGCTTCTTCTTCACCGCGTCCGCCGCGGCTGCCTTCTCTCCGTTCCTCTCCGCCTCGATCGCTGCCTGTCGTGCCGCTTCGCGGGTCTTGTCCTTGTATGTGAAGTTGTCCCAGTCGAAGCCCTCGTTGCCGAGCCACTTGTCGCCGTCCCAGTTCTTCGTCTCAGGCATGCGCGGGAGACGAAGCAGACCCCAACCCTTGCCGAGGTCAGCCCAGTCGAGGTCCTTGACGCGGAAGATGGAGGTAGTCTGGTGGGCGCCGTAGCTGCGCACCCAACTGACGAAAGCTTTTTGGGCCTTGTCGTGGTAGGCGCGGTCGCTGCGCAAAACGTTGCGGAACTTTTCTGAGGTTTCATTTGCTTTTTCGTCGGAGATTTCCACTTCAGGTTTCGTGAGGAGGTGAATGGGCGTCTTGCGGACTTCAAGGAAGGGGATGTAGTCTTCCTCGTGGCCGGGCTGCAGGAAGACCACGGCCAGACCCTTTCGGCCTGCTCTACCTGCGCGTCCGCTTCTGTGGATGAAGACCTTGGGGTCTGCGGGAGGGTCGACTTGGCAGACAAAGTCTACCTGGGGGATATCGAGACCTCTGGCGGCGATATCTGTGCAAAGAAGGATGGAGGGTGAAACCGAGTTGACGAACTTGGCGAAACTCTTTTCTCTCGCCTTGGGAGGAAGCTTTCCGTGCAATGGTACGAGTGTGAAGCCGTCGGGGAGAATAGTAGGGAGTACGTGTTGGAAGTAATCGACAGCCGCGCATGATGACAGGAAGACAATGCTCCGTTGCGGGCGGGGGTTGAGGTTCTCCAGCAACTTGCAAAGCGCTGGCAGCTTCTTGCTCGCTGGGGTGAGGAGGTACGACATTTGCAGACTGATGGGTGTCTTCCGGTCCTCGATGATTCCTCCATCCCTCAAGCTCTTGACCCTGACTGCGATCTTGACGGGATTCCTCAGACCGACGGTGATGATCTGAGACACAGCCTCTGAAACCGACGCGCTAAACAGACCCGTTCTCCTCTGCTTCGGCAGATAGCCAAGAATCCTCTGAATGTCCTGCTTGAAGCCCATATCCAACAGACGGTCCGCCTCATCCATGATGAACAGTTCGAAGGTCGCTTGTGTGCAGTGGACGTGGGGAGAGGCCAGCAGCTCGACAAGTCTGCCCGGTGTGGAGACGAGAACATTGGGAGCATGTCTGACGAAGAAGCTCAGATCCTGCTGCGTGGTAGTGTTTCCTCCGACGAGCAATTGGGGAACGATAACCGGGACGTTGGTGTCGGGGCGCTTCTCGTCCTCCTTGAGGTGAGGGAGGATCTCGGCAGAGGGTGGGTGGAAGCCGACGAGGGCCTGGAGAACGGAGTGAATCTGGATCGCAAGCTCGCGGGTCGGTGACACGATAATGGCAAAGACATGGCCGCGCTTCGTAGGCTCGGAAAGGCGCATGAGCTTCTGGACTAGGGGGAGGAGGAACGCAAGAGTTTTGCCGCTACCAGTGACGGCCTACAAGAATTAGTCTGCTATCGCATTGTGTTGAGGTATTCTTGCATACCTCTACTACGACGTCCTTGTTTCCGAGGAACTGCGGCAGACATGCTGCCTGGACAGGCGTCATGCGCTGGAAGCCTTGACTAGAGACGAAATCGAGGATCCATCTGCGCGCAAAGGTTAGCAGCGCGTCGTTGTCGAGTTAGGCTTGGGAGTCGTACTCGGCCAGAGGAGGTGTAAGTCCACGCCAGGACCTAGGGTCCTTCTTCTTCTCGTCGGGCGCCATTGCGACAATCGTCCAATTGAGCCTGGGGCGGTTCAGGAGATTTTGCGCCTCGAGTTCGGCTCTGCGAAAGTCGTCGCGGCTGGCTGCTGTCTGCTGTACGAGCTGGAGGGGCCGAGATTTTTTTTTTGGATTATCGATAAGAGCGGATCTAATCTGTTATCGATTACGATGCATAGATAAGACGTGCTCACGTGCACTGTGTGCTACTTATCAGACCACCCAAGAACTGGGTTTCTTGGCGCAAGTGCCTGCTCCGACCGCCGTCCACGGACAAAGCTAGTGATATCATCCCGTCTCTCCGCCCAACCGTCCTGGGCCACCTCGAGCCACAATTTCAGATTTCGCGGGTGCAAGTGTCGCACAAGCA